AAAGAAACAGCTGTTTTTAAATTCGGCTGTAGAATATTTAAACTGACAAAGGTTTAAAATTAATTACACACATAAATACAAGTGAGAATTAAACACACCTTATACGCTGACAACAAACACTATTTGGTTTTAGTTTAATATGCAAGTTGACAAGAAAAAAATCCACTGTTTTTATCTTGGGTTTTTTCCCTTCACCTTCTCTTTTCTGTTACAATTCAAGATTATGTTCTTCACACAGAATAAAAACCAAATCTGAGGTTTTAAAACTGTTTCTGAATAGTTGAGAAAACACAGACTGGAGTTCATCCATAATTCAGACTGTTTTTACTGAATATGAAGTGAAGAGAGATGTATCCAAAGCTTCAGGTTACAACCTCCATAAACTGCACTTGTGTCAGTAGTATTACAAGCCAGTTAACTGTAGTGAAATTATACTTAAATATATTATAATATTATCGTATTAGTAGAAACTGATAAAACAGATAAAATAGCTATCATAGCCAATGACAAATAAATAAATCGTTTTTTTTCAGTAGAATCAGTGTCATCCACCAACTTTGGACTGCAAACCAAACTAATATATGTACAATGTATAATACAGAATACCTGATATGTGGACACACTCTACAGTTTATACCTGATCATACCTGATACGTATTTAACTTTCACAATATTTAAGTGAGAAGAAGTGTGAATCACAAATGTGACAATATTTCTCTGCACAGTAAGTTCATTATTCTGAGTCAGCACAGAGGTGGATACTGGAGTCACGAGCTTCACTCTAAACCCAGCATATACAGGTTCAGTGAAGGTGGTGTTGAAGGTGTGCAGGTGGATCATTTTGTCAGAGGAGACGCTGTAGAAGGACACAGTTCCTGCAGAACAGTCCACATACACTGTGTGAACTTAGCCCCACTGTCATGCAGACTGTCAACTGTAGCAAATTTGAACTTTTTCATACACACACAGACATTGTCAAAGACACTGCAGCGGGGTTACCAATCTCGACTTGGAATCTACCCGGCTAAAGAACTTGGGCCCACTCTCATTCAGGCTGTTAACCATGGCGAATTTAACTAATCGATTTCAATCGAGACGCAACCTTTCGCGCTTTCACATTAACACAAACACACAATCTACAAGCAACGGGCTCGCCCACCTCCGCACAGAAAAAAGGCTTGGGCCCACTCTCATTCAGGCTGTTAACTGTGGCGAGGACTGGTTCTTTAGGATGTCCTCAGTCCCCAGGTTACCACCCTAGTCCCTAGTCCTCCCTTCCCATGGGTTTCGCCCTCACGTCCGCGAGTGTGGCAGCCAAGCCCAGAACAATTAGTCTTACTCTTGCACTTTCAGTCGCTATCCGCAACAGCCAATTTGTTTACTCAGCTCATTTACTCATTTACACCCCCAATTTAGTTGCTCTAACGCACTGGGACGGAACACACACCGCCTCTCTGCTGCTGCTGCTATCAACACTTCACCGTGTTCTTTTAATTCCTCATAGGCATCCGATGGAAGACAAAACACTGCTCAGCAGACCATTTCACACTTTATTCTCTTACACAATTACTTCTAGAAGGGAGACGCATCCTGCATGACACGTTGCCGCGGATCTCAAAAGGGTGATGCACACTAACAGTTTTTATAAGAAGCTGTCCCACTCTAGTCTAAACAACAGTGTTTCAGTAACTTTCCACTAGAAGATGGTCCCATGTTATCTACTTTTGGCAAGTGTGGGCGAGAGTCTACAGCATTCTATCCCCCAAGGACATGTAGTCTAATGCCTTTATTTTCCAGGACAGTGTCCACTTAATACTACACCAAATGGTTATATGGCCTTTTAGTTAATATAAAGCATAGGCGCTTCAAATAATTGAATTTCCCGGAGGAACCCACCCGAGGGATTAATAAAGTTTCATCTAATCTAATTTCATCTCAACATGATTGAGCATTTAAACACATGGTGTTGTTCTTCCTTCAGCCCGAAGATCAAAGAATTGGGGTATTTAAAGAGGAAAATCTAATAATTGTGCACTTTAACTGTTTTAAATTTGGCCAATGTACTGGCTTATCTTCTTTTCCAACAATGATTTCATTTTCAAATTTTTGAGCATATTTTTGTGATCTTATGATCACCTTGCAAATAATTTGCTTCACTGTGTTTCTGTATTGTTTGCATATATGTGTATGTTTGTGTGTAAGATGGGATAAACACATGTTTCTGATTACTTGTAAAAAGAATTATGACTTCATTTTTTGTACCTTAATGTTTTGGATCTGTACAAACCTGTCATCAGCCTTTAGTTATCAGCTCTTCTGTTCACATCAGTCTGCCTGCTTTCAAAATCCTGCGATTTGGTCCTCACACTCCACTACACTACGGTTAACATAAGGTTTATAACTATGTGAATCAGGTCACATTACAAAGCAAAAACAATGTAACAAGTACAACATGATTTATACTTTAAAACACCAATAATATGGATGGACCTGCTTTTAAATGCTTTTAAATTCACTCAAAGATGTTTTTAACAAAGGTGACATAAAGATAAAGAACACATAAATTTAAGCTCCAGAAATTAGAGATGAAGTCAAATATAAGACAGAGTAAATACTTGGTGCTGTTCTCTCCTCTTCTTTAGTTGGTGGTTGCTTGTTTTCTTCAGCCAGCTGTTTCATCAAGTCTCTCTCTCTCCTTTAATGTGACATCAGCAGCAGTTTTGTTTGATTTAAATAATAAAATAGTTTGTGAGAGTTCATCATTCACAATCAGCTCAGCAGACAAAAACAGTTAAAAGCTGGTTATAAAAACAGGGAACTATTGATGGCTGAACGTCACATTTCAGGAACACTGAAAACTCCTCAGAGAAAAGTCCTTCAGATTAGACTAAAGATTTGCTCAAGAACAGTGTTTAGGTTTCCATAGAAACAGCTGCATCCAAGCCTCATGTCACCAAGCGCAATGTCAAGCATCGGATGCAGAGTTGTAAAGCACCTGCTCAACCTCTTAGTTCCAATGAGAAAAGCTCTTATTGCTTCAGCACACTGAGACGTTTTGGACAATTTCCTGCTCCCTTTCCTGTTCCAACATCAGTGGTCATTTGCAATTTTTAACCTGCAGAAATGTTAATCATAATGCTGTCAACCATAATACGGGAACATCAGATCATGCATATAAAAGAACAATAACATTGGGAGGGGGTGGAGGGATAATTTGATTTAGATGTTAGGATTGCATATTTGGTGATGTTTGTGTAAGTTTCCTCAAGATTGCCCACCTGTTAAGGAACAGATACAGACATACACACATGCATACTGTCGTGGAGTTTGTAATTAAAAAGTCTGCAGACATGGTTAGCCATAATCAAAACCTTTACTACCATGCCCATGGGAGAGTAAACAGACAGTTAACACAGACATGACATGTGAGCTCTGAGCTCTCGAGGTACAGCAGGGCCCCGTTTATCTCAAAACAACAACACGATTTCCTGCTCTGCTGTTTTTACCCCAGCGTGTTCAAACTAGAAAGTTCCTCTTTTTATAGGTCAAGTGCAGGTCTTCACCTTTTGACCCACGGGACTGAGGCGTGACCTTTCCATCACACCCTATCTTAACGCTGCACCATCTTGCACATCCCACACGCATGGTGCAAATCCTTATTTCAACTGCATCTGAAAGCTTTTTTATAGCAAAGCAGAAGGTGTCATAACATTAAAGAACAGTTGTTTTCTTCAGCTGTTGAGGTCAAAATAAGTTCAGCTAGTTCAAAACTGTTCACTGGAATTTTCCATTACAGTGTCACAACTGAGTATGCATATAAGAACTTAAACACTTTAACATGAGAATAATACAAATTTTCCATTACAATAAACTAAATCATTTTAGTCACATATTCTAATCTAAAAATTTTCTTCTCCGTTTTCTCACTATCTGCAGTGGTCGCATTACTGTTTGCATGTAAATTTACCTTTACATTTACCATGTACATAAAAAGGGTGACCTCTTTAATCACTGAGAGCTAAAACAACAAGTAGTATCAAAGACATCGGTGTGTTCTGTCACATAGCAGTGCTACACAACCCAACACGTCCTTCGGGCTGAAAACAACAAGAGAAGCTTTGTGTCACTCTTCTGGACTCATTTCTGTATTTGTGTGTTCTTTAAAAAAAAAGTAATTCAAAAGTTAGTTTTATTTTTTCATTAAAGAAGTGTTGAAGATCTAATTTTATAAACAGGAAGTCATTTACAACATGAAGCAGCAGGATTAATCACATCAAAATTGCCGACTTGTTTTCATCACTAAGATGCAGAGAGTTTAGATTTATTTGCACAGAATTTGAAGTGATTTAAACTTCCAGTTATTTTTTCCAGAAACATTATTTACAGCTTTATTTATTTAAGCAACATCCATTAGAATTTATATTTGTTATTTTATATTATTTATTGTTTATATAAATATAAACAATAAATGAATGAATAAATAAATAAATAAATGTGTGTGTGTCCCATTCCCTCCTGCCACTCACAGGAGTTACTATAGCAACCGGCCCTAACAGCTGAGTACAGGAACAGCTGATGACTCTCTGCTTAAAACAGTTTTTTGCTCAAACCGCATACATCCTGATGTCTTCGGTCAACTGATCCGGCAGTAGCACAGGCACAGTTAAAATTTCTTCAGAAATTTTCGCTTTCTAGTTATATTTTCAAATCTGAAACAAATAAACAAGACCATCAAAAACTCAGGAAACAGTTTCAAAACAGAGTTCAAAAGGTTCATGGAGGTCGACCAGGAGGCCAACAGCACAGGCATCCAAAACAGAACAGTTCAAGGGGCCGGCCATGTGAAAACCAGCGGCAGCGACACCTGTGGAGGAAATCCAAAGGCCGACCGTGCGGAAGGCAGATGGCGGTAACAGAGGCGACCCCGTGCTGGGGGCCGCCCTCGACAGCGATGACGTCCAGCTAGAGGCCTGGAAGAGGGCCAGCAAAGGCGAGGTGGTTCAGGCTGAGCTGGATTGGGCAGCGGTGTAGAGGCGGCAGAGGCTGGGCCAGGTGAGGATGCTGCGGAGCCAGACGGCAGCCTGGCAGCTGTGAATGGTGACGCTGCAGGTGACGGTGTGAAAGCCGCATCTCCATTTTTCAGAACATAAAGTTCCAGGTTGCATTTATTTTCTTATATTTCACTTTTAGTTTTCCCATAGGAATAATTATTTCACTGGTTTATGTTTTCAGTTTCACTAAGGTTAGAGTTTCAGATTAGGGAATTTGTCTCTGTAGTGTTCATATGAGATAAGTGAGAGGGCAGACCCAGTGTCAAACTCCATTTGTAACTCAACCTCTTGTATTTTTGGTGTGAGCCATATTGCTTCCTTATCTTTCTCTTGTATTGTATAGAGCTCAAGGCATGCCAATTCCTCCTGAGAATCATCTGAGTCTGTCTTATTTACTTCATGCTACTTTACCCACTCCATCCGAGCCACAGGCCTTCACACTGTCTGGTCCAAGCCATCACCACCATCAACATCCCCCAAAGCTACACAGTCTGGGTCATTGGCCCCCACAGTTTTTAGTTGCACTTTTGGACAGATTTATAACTTTTTAAAAATGTATTTATGATTTTTAAAAATTAGTCATGGTCCCTGTGCCTTGCAAATGGACCCCGTGTTCGGCAACATGTTTTGTTTTCTGCTCTCTCTCTCTCTCTCTCTCCCTCTCTCTCTCTTGCCTCTGCCGGGGCGGTGCTCATTACAGGCTCCCACCCCTGGCCCACGCACCTGTGTTCAATCTCCATACCTGACACTGATCTCCACTCATCCTGAAGCCATACTTAAGACAGCAGCACTTTGCTACTCATCGCTGGATCGTTGAGCAAAAGATTTCTGAGACAATGAACAAAAAATTGATATAGACAAACACTGTTCCCCGGTGCAGAACACGGTCAGTGTTTAAAGTAGTGTAAACTGGTTTCTTTGACATTAATGTGTTGATGCAGGTAAATAAACACACAGGTGACAGTTTCTGTTTATTGTGGTTTGGAAACATCCAGTGAAAATCTACAAATGTGTTTAGTCATGGATCAGATTCAGAGTAGCCCATTATAGAACTCACGAGTCTGTTGAACACACGAACCAGCTGATTTTGTATTCAACCAGTAAGAATGACGACTTCTCCTTCTCATTCATTGGAAAACAGAGTAGGACCTGAAAAAAGCAAGAAGAACAGACTCAATAACAAACTTGTATCCACATCGTGAAAACACTTCTGGATAAAACATTAACAATAATGATTTGATGAAAATCCCAGTTTCAGCGAATGGACTCTGCTTGCTCTGAAAAACCTGTCTCAAATGGTGTAAAATCCCTCAGGTTTGTCAAAGAGATGGAGATCCCTGAGGCCTGAAGCATCTGATGCTGTCTAAATACGGGACTTAATATCTAATCCAAGGATAGCTGATAAAGTACAGAGTTCAGTAATATAGACATGCAATTTTGCTAATTGGTAATTTTGCTTCAAATCTGGTATTAGAATTAAAAAATGCAATAAAAGCACAGAATCAGGCCATTTAGATGGAGAGCCAATCTAGACCTCTTGTACAGGGATAGCTGGGATCTATCAAATTGGAACACAGCAGTGAAATTAGACTGTGGTATAAACATGGACTTAAACTTGATTTAAAACTAAATGAAAGTGAATTTAGAGCACAAATAATCTACTAACAAGACTGATATGAAGTGCTGTTAACTGGTATGTGAGTGTGAGTCCTGGTCTGACCTTCCACCTGTAGAAAATATATCCAACCAAAAGTAAGATCAGACCCAGGGTCAGTATGGAGGCTCCGGTGGCAGTCAGTGTCATTGATTAAGATGTTGATTTGTCCGAGGATGACTCTGAGTCAGACAGGTGACAGACAGAGGCCAATAGTAGAACAGACAGGTGAGTAGTCAGATGCATATTTGTGTGTACAGACAGACATATCAGTGTACCCCAGTCAGTGATCAGAGGTTCACTCAGGCTGGCGTGCTCCACCACACAGGAGATCTTCTCCCCAGACCTTCAAGACAAACATCACTGATTCACAGACCGCTCACAGAACTGGATCTGAATATAGACCTGGACCCGAATTCGGCTTTGATGTGGACTCACCTGGGTTTGTACACCAGGTGGGAGTGGGTCTGGTAGTACCAATCACCATTTGGCATCACTTCAGTCGAAGTGACATCAGAGTTCACTTCCTGTCCATCTCTGAGCCAGCTCACTTTGATCTTATTGGGAAAGAAGTTGTAGACTCTGCAGGCCAACATGGCAAGATGTTGACCAGAAAGCGGGGTCTTGGACTTGATTCTTACACTGGGCTGAACTAAAAACAACACAGACATTATATTACCATTGTGGCAATAATATGTGTGATGTTTTTTTTTTCAAGTGCTTTATTAACAGTAAGATTTACAGTGGCAGAAATACACAATTATTTCAGTTTCACAATTATCTGATACCAAATCACAGGGTTCGTACAGGTGCTTGAAATCCTTGACAATGCTTGAATTTTAATGTTGTCTTTTCAAGGTTTGAAAAGTGCTTGAATTTCAGATGTGGTGCTTAAAAGTGCTTGAAAGTGTAACTGTATTTCATTCACCACAAATAACTATCTGGTTGAATAGTTTTCTTATCAGATAGAGAAATAAAATGA